GGAGGTGATCACCGGGGCGCGGGGCGGCGCCTGATGGGGGCTGAGGTGCTGCTGGTGCAGCGCTGGACCGGCCAGGGGGGGACCCCGGCCCTCTGACGTCCGCTGCGGACCCTGAGATTCCAGGCCGTGACCTTGGTACTGCCCCGACTCCTGCAGGGGAACAGAGAGACACCCCACCGTTAAGACTCCCCTCGTGGGTCACAGGCGGCTCGCTGAAAATACAACTACAGACTGAAAGAGAGCTGCTGTCATCCGGCTGGGATTTCAGCTCCCAGTTCTCCCCCCCAACATTAACTTCCAGAGCTGGAAAACCTATTGAAAAGACAAGGGGGCTGTGCAAACAGCACCAATGCGATTGCAAGTTGTCACTTGGCCAAAGCCGACAGCATTTCAGATGGGTTTCGTATGAGAGACGTGGCAGAGGTACAGCATCTTTAGTGGGCACTGCACCACCTCAAAACGATCGTTCTTACCAGGCATTTGCTGTTGCCATGTCTGCCCTGCGGTCTCCAGCCCTCGTTGGCGGAGGAGGAAGAGGAGGAGGAGTGGGTGTGGTCCAGGCCCCGGTGAGGTATTCCAGCAACACTGTTGCCGTGATGGGGCCGGTTGCCGCCGCTGGTGTTGCTATGGGCGTCCTGCCGCTTCTCCTGCAGCGGTTGCTGGGGCGGCGGTTGCTGTGGCAGCAGGCGAGGGTAGTGGGGGCTGTAAGGCACGCCGGTGATGTTTGCTGGTGAGAGGCCGGGCCGGTGGACCCGCGGTGGACCCTGCTGCCCGCTGCTGCCGCCCGCTCCCTCGTGCCTCGGGGGGGCCCTGGGCTCCTGGTTGCGGGGGTCCCGCAGGCCCCGGCTGTGCTGGGAGGAGGCTGGGTGCTTGCTGCTGCCGTCGCCCTGAGTCTGGCTGAAAGGAGGCGGGTGGCTCAGGCAGGGCCCCCCCCCGTTGGGCCCGGTCTGGGACGAGGGCAGGGCCTTGCCGGGGGGCGGACCGCGGCCCAGGCCGTAGCCAGGAGCCGAGACGGGGGGCAAGGGGCTGGTGGGGGAGAGGGGGTACGGGGCAGTGCTGGGCGGAGGGAGGTGCTTGTAAGGGTATGCCCCCTGGACGGGCTTGGGCGCCTCCTGCTGTTGAGAGAAGGAAATGCGGACATGTCGTAACACCGTCATGCACCACGCACGGCTCTTCCTCCAATCCAACTGGGGTTTCTAAATCCACACGGAACAGGCTCCAGTATGTCCAAAGTTCAGCAACCAGGTCTAGCGCCAGTGATCACATTACTCCTATCCTGGAGTCCTTGCACTGGCTTCCCATCAAGTTTCGTATTGACTTCAAAATCCTCATGCTCACCTATAAGGCTCTGCATGGCTGGGGACCTCAGTACCTGTCTGAGCTACTATCACCCTACTCCCCACCTCACAACCGTCGCTCTACTAATTCTGGGCCCCTATCTGTCCCCCAGGCCCGTCTACACTCTGTGGGTGACAGGGCCTTCTCCTGTTA